CATGAAAACCTCAACAGGGCCATACTGGAACTTGATCTCAGTCAACTGACCGAAGTAGTCTACGATGTGATGAACATTGCTAATAATGCGCAATAGTGATATAATCATTTTTCAAAACTTTGTTATGAGTAGTTGAATTATTAATTTTTTGAAATTTTTCTTTTTGACAAAATAATAAATGTTAAAACAAATGCTATTTTACTTAAAAGTAATTTATTCTGTAGGTGTTTTCATTAAACTTGCCAAGTTTTGTAATAAAGTTAAAACAATAAAGTAATTATTTTAAATCAAAACAGTTTAAAAAAGGTATGATAAATTAATCAAAACCTGTATAACTTAAACATTTACTAGAAATGACATATGAGTGCTTGCATTTTATTTGATAAATTGGGTCATTTGTAATAATTAATTTGAATAACAAACAAAAAAGTTAACTAATAATGTATTGCACCAATTTCAAATTTAAACTTTAAAGCATACTATTTAAACTATATATTTATTTTGAAAAATTGTTAACAATAAACATTTTAAATTTTTAAAATATTTTTTAATTTTAAAATATTATATTGAAACCATGGATTTTTTTACTAAATTAACCTTTTCACCATTTAAATATTTAGTAACTATTTTCAAAGGGCATATATCGGCTTTTTATTACAATTTAGATCAAGTAAAAGACTATTCCACATTAAAAAGTAATCAAATAAACATCTCAAATGCTCTACCGATTATTAAAACATTTAATTGGCAATATTTCATCCCTTTGTTTACAACTTTGCACATAATTTTGGATTCATTTTACATAATTGCAAGCAATGAGTTTCAGTATTCAGTTGATAATATGGATGAACTGTATCCTCACAAAGTCCTTCCTCGAGCAATATGGCCTATTGGAGACATTATTTTTGTTTTTGTAGCTGTAATGCCACTGTTAATATTTTCTAGTTTATTTATAGACAGTAAGCTAAAACCAAAATACACAATGGTTTTAGAAAGATTTGGTGACCAGATAAAAATAACTCAAAATAACCGAAAAATTTTAAATAAAAAAGTAGCATATAAAATTGATAAATATCGTCAAAAAATGCATTCTATTTATCCTTATTTGTTTTGTCTTGTGTCTGCTGAGCTAGAAGTTTTTTGTGGATGGAATTTGTTTACTCATTGGATTGGCACACTTCACGATGTTGTAATTTTAATACTTATGGTTCTTTTTGAAGTCTACGCCTGTTTCAGCAACATTTTCTTTATCTTCTTTTTTTGCATGACTTGTCGGTACTTGCAAATTAAACAAAATTTTATAAAAGATCAAATGAAGAAGCTTTCTCAGACTTTGAATGCCACTGACAGGAAACAACAAAAATATTGGAAAATTTTTAAAAACTTACTTGAAAAAGTGTCCAATTTACATGATGAAATACTTGGAGCAAATGATTTTTGGGGCACCTATTTGTCATGGTATTTTCTCATGTTTACTTTTAAAATATGCTACATTTGCTACATGATTTTTTTTGGCAATGCCATTTACTTGCATAAAAGTTTTTTCTTTTTGCTTGGACTAAAATTTTTTTTCGTTTTAAACTATGTTCCTTTGCAATGCTCCATTATTGTACAAAACAATATTTGCATTGAAAAAAAATCGCAAATGTTGTTTCGACAATTTGCTGTTTTTGGTCAGCTTCAAATTGTAGATCTACTAAAGTTTGACAGACAAGTTGAAAATGCAAGCAACATTGACCAAATTTCTTTTAAACTGTCAAATGATTTTATAATCGATTCTAAAGGATTTGAAATGGTATTTGTATAACTAATATTGCTATGTTAAACTAAAAAAATATTTTAGTTATTTTTTTACGCCAGCGTTACTTTCATTATGATTTTTGAAGGGCAAATGAAATAAAAAATTTAATTTACATTTTTTTGTTACAAAGTTTTAATTTCTTACATTTGTTAACTTTTTTAATTTTCACAAGTAAACGTTTTCAACACGTTATTGGTTTTTTGCAATTACACAAAAGTGCATCATGATAGATATAAAATAAATGATTATCAAATGCACTTTAACTGTGATCTTTGTATTATTTTATTTGCAAACTATCAATCAAATATTGATATGCTGTGATACTGTGTACAAAATGTTCTAAAACGCAAGTTGCTGGACAGACTAAAAGGAACTGATGCCTTTCAAAAATAGGTTGCAATCATGAGCACAACTGAATTAATATATATAAACACTAGTTTTTAAAATTTAGTTTAGTTGATGAAGTTTTAATTAGTCAAGAATATTTAACAAATGGAGTTCATGTGGATAGTTGTCGCTCAAATTATTCCAATTTTTATTGGAATTTACTTGTAAGTAAAAAATAAAACAAAAAAACAATAAGCAAACAATTGGCAAAAAAGCAAGGCTATAAACGATTGGGAATAAAATTTTAACCAAACTCATTGACGATAAAAAAATTTAAAATTAAATACAGTTAAAATTAAAAATGTGATACAAACAAAAAGTTATTTTTTAATACTACAGCTACATTCAGCACAAGTACAGTTATTGGCGTAATTTAGGAGTTGACGGTCCAAAACCTTCTTTTTTCAAGTTTGGCAATGTTTTGCAAATTGAAGGGTCTGCTCCAGATAAAATTGAACAGGAGTTTTTTCAAAAATACGGCAAAGTTTACGGTAAATCTTTTTTTAACTTGTTTACAATTTTAATAATTTTTGTAATTAGGAATTTACACTGGTCTGAAACCTACATTGACGATTGTCGATGCTGAACTAATAAAAAGTGTTCTTCAAACAAATTTTCAAGCGTTTCTTAATCGTCGAACATTAAACACTCATCATGATCTGGTCAATAATGGTCAATTTTTCACCGATGATGGCCATTGGAAGAAAATTAGAATAATAACAGGTCCTACTTTTTCATCATCAAAACTGCGCGGAATGACACAGGTTAGAACAACTAACAAAACCTCTAGTTTTTTAACTTTGTTCCTTTTATATTACAGGTTATGAGTCGTTGTGTGGACAAGTTGGTGGTTCATCTGAATAAAGTGATTGACAAAGAGGAGGGTCTTCTTCAGACAAAAGATGCAATTATTGGACTAACTATTGACGTAATTGCAGCAACTTCATTTGCGACTGATACTAACGCAAATGGAAGTTCTCGAACAGAAAATGCCGTTGTCAAACATGGACTGGCTTTCTTTGACATTTCTCCTTATCGGGCACTTTTCTTTTTTACTATGCCCAAATGGATCAATTCTTTTGTTGGCGTAAATCACTTTTTCAATCCTGATAGCTTTGACTTTGCCACTCGGCTTATGAAGGAGATCATCCGTCAGCGAAAATCACAAAATTCTGACGGCAATACTAAAGTTAAGTACAATGATTTAGTTCAGCTTCTTATGGACGCTTACGTGTACGAAAATGAGCTGGACAACTCGAATTTTGATAATCTTGCTGCCTCTATGGAAAACGGTATTCAGTTTTGATTTTTGTTTTTGCACAAATTTAAACTTAAAATTTTTGTTTATTAGATAAAAACGAGGAAAAACAATCTGCATTTGGACCGCAATCTTCAAACAAAGCAAAAGCAACTTTAACTGAAGATGAGATCGTTGCGCAAGCAATTTTGTTTTTTATTGGTAAATAGCTGCAGTAAAGATTGTTTATGCAAATAACTACAATTTTTTTATTGCAGCTGGGTGAGTAACTAAAAGCATTCGTTTGATTTTTTAACTATTCAACTATTTTATTCAGTTTTGAAACAACGACAACAGGTTGTAATATTAAAATGCATTTAAACTTTGTTTAACTTACCAACTTATATTTTAGCTGTGAGCACATGCATCTTTGAACTGCTTGATAGTCAGATTCAAGACCGACTGGTAGCTGAATTGCGCCAAGCTTTAGATCACTTAGAGCCCAATTCTGAAGAGTACTTTGAAACGGTAATGATGGGAATTCCATACTTGGATGCTGTAGTAAAGGAGTCAATGCGCAAGTATCCGCCTGTCAAACGGTTGGAACGTAGAGTGACAGTGGAGCAGTTTCAACTTGGTAATATTAGCCTTAAAAAGGATCAACTAGTGGAGATACCTGTTTATGCAGTCCACCACTCTGAAGGTAAAATTGTGTTACTATAAAAACTCTCCGTTATAACAATTCCTTTTTTGCAGAGTACTACAACGAACCGGAACGTTTTAATCCCGAGCGCTTTATGCCGGAAAACAAACATCTTTTAGTGCCGTACACCTATTTGCCCTTCGGCAGTGGGCCTAGGAATTGGCAAGTTTGCACCGGAAACAAACTTTCAAAGGCACTGAAACTTACAGAACTTTATTTTCAGTATTGGCATGCGCTTCGCCTACCAGGAGATCAAAATTCTTCTGGCT